ATGAAGGAGAAACCACACGAAGCAAAGTATGAAATGCTGTAGCCAACATTGGTCAGAATGTTTATTTCCAACCCTATACCAATCAGGAACATGTCGCGAGGTTGAAGAATTTGAATCCCTCCTTTTTTGCTGAGTCTGGTCTACATATGGAAAAGGCCCATCAGAGCAAGTCAGTGAGAAAATGATAGCTCATAAAGGGTCATATTAGCTGATTAATGCTGCCTTTCTATGAAGTTTTCCACAATTGTCGTTAGCAACTTCTTGATAGTTTATGTAGCCTAGGTATGAAGTCCCGACATTGGATGACTACCTAGAGCCCGCCAATGCTTTCATTCTTATCCATGGCTCCAGCGGACCACTTAAAATTAACTTGACAACGTTAATAAGGGTTTCCTCTAAGTATAGATAAATTCACCTCGGAAAAGAAGTAACGAGTGCGCAATTAAGTTTCTACTATTTTGATTGCTACTCCCGAAACTCAACCTTATAATACACATGCATATTCAGATATATTTCGTGAAGGTGGTCTCGCATACATTTAACGTATTTTCCCGAACACGCTCAACGTCTGACTATGCACATGAAACTCTTACCTTCGGGGGTTTTCCCTGCTGCATTGAAATCTGCCGTTTTGGCCTCGAAGAGCTTGTCAAATACAACTTGATCATATTCTCCAACCTTCTTTAAGACAGGAGTAACTTCAGGTATTTGCTTGATTATTTCCACCATAAACTTTTCTGCGTATGAATTTATCTGATTGTGTAGTTTTTCTGTAGCTGGCATTGCCTCGATAAATTGCTTAACTGGCATCTCCTTAAGCTTGGCAACTTCTTTCGCCATTATTTTTCGCAGGTCGTGAGGAGTTGGATCGGGGGGGAGTTCAGTAATATCCTCATCTGCGTCGTCATCGTTTTCCTTTCCTGCATCTTCCCCTCCTGCTTCGCTTTCTCCCTCACCCTCACCCTCACCCTCGCCGACCTCGCCACCCGCTGCCTCAATGTTTTCGCCGCCGCCCTCCGGGGGTGCCTGTTCTGCGGGGACCGTCTCTTCTGCTGGCGTTGCCCCAGCGTCTTCTGCGGGCTGGTCAGCCATGCTAGAGAATTATTAGCCGCCAAAGCTGCGCCAGCCACCCGTCTAAGGCGCGTGACCTCTGGCCCATTTAAATCCAAGAAAGAATTTTATCGATTTTCGTATGCCTGCTACAATTGACTTTGTAAATCAGGTGCGTTCTTAACTCCTTACGTTTCACGACTCGCCAAGTGATGTGGACGGTTATTTTTCCCCGTCGGAACATTGCATGTCGTCGTTGACCAGTTTTGGCTTAAACGTGACTGAGGCCCGAGGTACTTGCAGGGGATTGTCAGAACTACTTTTGCGCCCTACTTACCACAGCTTATAGTTACCCTCGTGGGCATGGTTGTATAATTTACGAACAACTGTGATTCTAGGTACATGTTGACCGTTAATGAATTATATCCTGAGGATCTAGATGCTCCCTGCTTTTCTAGAGCTTGAAGATTGACACCTGCAACTTAACTAGGCATCATGGACAATTAGACCGATGTCCTACGCATTTGATATAGGCTATTCTTCTTGTAAGGACTCTGGAAAAAAGCGCAAATAAGAGTTGAGAATATGCAGAAAACTAATACCGTATGTTAATTCACTTATTGCTGCGCTGGCTATTGATCTGTTGTTGGTTTTTGCGAC